TCTTTCCCTGATCCCCATATGCAATCAATCATTCCTCAAATTCTGTTTGTTCAACTTCATAACCGTCTTTCTCCAGGGGTTCTCAATGGGAGGGCAGAAAGAATTAGACAGAAGATAAGAAGGTATAAGATAATCACTTGGGAGGGTTTTTCACAACACACTTGATTGCCTACAGTAAGGGTCTTGACTGTTTAACTTGGTTTGACTGGCACCTATAACTAAGGAATAAGATAAGGGTGCCTGCTGTACACAAGCAGTAGTTATCCCCTCACTGCCAGAAGTGACACGGTGGACTTTTTCAGGGACTGATTCAGCACCCTCCTCAAGGACTCAGGAGTCCTCCATCCTTCTGCTCTGCTGTCCGGAGTTTGTGGCTTTGTCCTCAGGCACCTCTACTCGTGGTCACAAAATGGGCTGCCAGAGTTCAGCTGATCACATGAAGATACCGCTGTATTCAGCGAAAGCTTCCTGGGAGGCTCTTTCTATCAGTGGGAAACCTTTCCCAGAAGGCCCACCGGCTGACTTTCCCATGGCAGCTAATCAGCCAGAAGGTGGCGGCCACTCCCAGACTAACCACAGGCAGGGCAAAGGTTACCCATGCTTAGCTTAGCCTTAGACTACTTAGAGAAGTCAGAATTCAAACCCATCCATTTTCCACTGGCTGCCAACACCTGTAATTAATTACAAAGAAGCTTGAGTGAAGCATCATCTTTTCTTTCTTAAGACTCCTCACAGCAATTTTAATTAGATAAGAATTACAGTTCTATCAAAGTTCTCAGGGAAAAATATACACGATATTACATAAGGACAGTTTTCAAATATGCATAAATTTATTCATTTGAATAACACTTTCAGAATCCTTTTGTAAAAAGGGGGCTTTACTTATCAATTTTAATCTAATTTTTCACAATGGCCACTGATTCCTAAAAAGACGGTTACTTAATTTTGAATATCATCTCCCAAAACAAATGAGAATTCATTAATACCATGTATTCACTCAATCTATTTGTGCTTTACATGGGGGAAAAATAAACTTTTTTTTCTCAAAAGAAACATTCACTGAGCTACTTAGTGACAAGCAGGTTGCACAGCACACAACGGGGATTCCCAAACTGCACCCGAGCTGCTCAAGGCACCACGGCACACCCACAGGGGTACTGCGAGATGCTCTAAGTTTCCAAGGAAACACAGCTACACTAACAGGGTTTTTAGATTGGGATGCATTTTATTAAAAGGTAGAACTACAATTATACCGAAAATTACACATACAGCCTCTTTAAACATCCTCTTACTTTCTAAAGTTTTTTAAGCTTGGAGACTCTATTTTAAACTTAGAGCCAAGGAATGACTATCAGAATAACTGAGACCACTGCAGGGTTTTTCTCTTGGCTTTACTTTTATGTACTACTTCAATTAGAAGTAAATTTCTCTTTCATCCTTCTTCCTTAATTTAAGGAAATCACCAAGCCTGTGACTTCTGACACTAACAGTGTTTAGATTGTTAACTCTGATCAAGTCATTTTCCACTATCAAAAATGAAGAATGG